GGTTTTAATTCCTTAGTGTATAGCTTGGTTAATGACAATTCTTAACAAAATAGTCTAGATCCTACCTTGCCGCCCTATGAAAACTTTGAAAATGACAGTTCTCTCTCTTCTTTTGTTTCTAATCTGAGTGCGTAACAAAAAGTTATCAGAAGACTACAGGACTTTTCTCTCCCCACCTTGTTACTTTTCAAACCACTGAACAGGAGCTGTGGCTCTTAATTTAGCAAAATGATGTACTGTCTACCACTTTTTTTTTAACTTTTTTTATTGAGTTCTAGTCATTTTATAATATTGTGTCAAATTCCAGTGTAGAGCACAATTTTCAGTTATACATGAACATACATACATTCATTGTCACATTTTTTTTTCGCTGTGAACCTACTACCACTTCTTAATGGCTTATTATGCACCAAGAACTTGGTTAAGTACTTGGCATTACAGTTGACTCTTAAACAACATGGGTTTGAACTCACAGGACCACTTACACACAGATTTTTTTTCACGAACCACGGATCACATGATCCACTGTTGGTTGAATCCACAGATGCAGAACCGAGGATATGGAGGGCCAACTATAAGTTATACTCAGATTTTTGACTTCTTGGGGGTCAGCGCCCCTAACCTCCACATTGTTCAAGGGTCAACTGTACTTTGATTCAGTTGGTACAACAAAGGAAGGTAGATGTTAGCATCCACATTCTGCATGGGGAAACTGACACTTTGAGAAGTCAATTTCACATAGGTAGAAAATGAAGGAGCGAGAATCTCATCACTGGGCCCCCCTCTCATTAGGAGGCCACCCTCAAAAACACATACGTGGTGAATGTGATGGGAAAATGTCATAACAAGTGAAGCAGTGTGCAGCTCCATCATAGAAAATTAGCTGCAGTTAAGACACCAGGTTCTCCCTCTGCCTGGGAGACACCAGTGTGCCTACCTGCCCATATGAAGGGGCACAGAGATTACCACAGGCCCCTGTCACACCTCAAGGAAGGTAGCAAGTCATGGTCTCTCCTCCTCTCAAATGTTCTGCCCCACCCTTTGCAAATATCCTTCTAGAATGAAGGTGGCAGATGAGAAACAAAATACAGCATGATAAATTGCCAATTTCCTAGTTAAGTGAATGATTGTCACACCTTACATTCATGAATTGAATAAGTATCCAGATTAGAATTTCATGCATCCACTGAATCAAATGCCTTCCAGTAAATAACGTGTTCTTTGAACGAGCACAGGAGACTATGTGTATGTACTTGGATTTCTTTTCTGGGTGATCATGACTGGTACTGCAGTTCTCTGATGAAAATCTCTTGCATTCTGTAGTGTCTTTGTGATCTTCAATGCCATCTGCCACAAGAAACAGGTGTCCAGTAATTTAATATAATAATTATGAATTGCAAACTAAGACCACTCTCAGAGCTGTCTGTACCTGGGTGCCCAGTTTTGGGCTCTGTACCCCATTCTCTTCCTTCGAGAACACTGAAAACGGCGACTCGGGTTCAGTTGAGACTTTTTCCGTATCCCACACACACATCCAGAACAGTAAACATTGCTGAGTTCTTTGTTAAACAAATCAACTGCCTGGCTAAACAACTGAACTGGGAATATTCCAGAGGCCTTAAGTTTTGACTATAACTTGTAGTTTTCTAAGGATGGGATGCTGCAAGCTTCTGCGCAGAGGACGACAGGGCCAGAACTGGGAGCCCTGTTGTTGAGGACACTCGAAATCCTCACTCTTTTAAAAACTTACACTGACCAACATTCACATTATTTCTCAAATTGAAGGTTACATTTTCTGCCTCCCTGAGACTAGTGTCACTTCTCCAAGTTGAGAACAAGAGCGCCATTTGGCATTCATTTATCCCAAACCCAAACCGCTGACCCTTTGTTTTTAGTACTTTGCCCTTTTGCTTTCGCTTTTTTAATTTGCTTGTGACTCTCTGCTTCCCCCATCTTTTTTTTTTGGTACAATGATTCTTACCTTGTCTTTCCCCAGTCCGTTTCTGACCTGGAGAGACGTGCAGCATGTTATTGTCAGGACTTCCCGTGCAGGACATTTGAACGCTAATGACTGGAAAACCAATGCTGCTGGTTTTAAGGGTGAGAACTTCTTTCATATTCTGTCACAGGCAAAATATTTTTATTTTTCCCCCATTTTAAATGGAGAGCAGGAAATGGAATCCCTCCAAAGAAACTTTAAATTTTGTGCTGACACAGGAAAAGCTTAATCTCTTAGTTTAAAAAAAAAAAAGGCAGATTCCTTTTTTTTTTTAAATTAAAACAACACATATCAGACAGATTTCCCTGGCTTCCTACATCATAGGTCAGTTTTTTTTAAAGGTAACCAACTTCCAAGTATTGTGGACCTGGGGGGCTCCTCATTCGTTTACTGTTTGCTGTCGTTGATGATCTGAGTGGTATTTGTGACAATGTATTTAAAAATTGCTTACCTTCCAGAGTGATTACCGCTACTTAAGTAATAACTGTTGTATTTTGTTCACTTGAGGGTAGCACTGTTAGTCGCTAGGCTATATATTTTGTTTTTATTGTTTTTCCCCCAAACTTCCACAAACAGAAGAACAGGCATAATTCTAAGACAGTACTTTACATAAAGGAAAAGTTCTGTGAAGCTCTGTAACGCACAGTCTGTGCAGGTGTGCACAGTATATGATAAGGGCTGGCTGTTTTTCCCGTGGCTGATAGAGATTTTAGTTCCTCACACTGTCTTCCTAATGGGAACCGTTTTGTTTGTTGTCATCCAGAACATACGCTATAGTAAAAAGAAAGTAGTTATATGAAGCAGAGGTCCTACAGTTTCGTATCTTTACTCAGGTTTCAGATAGCCTAAATGTTCATCTAAGTTATAACAAAGATTACTTTTTGTCATATCTGCAGACTTAAATTTGCTCCCACATAATCTTAGTATCATCATATATCCCTACGGATGAAAAACAGGATTTCGTACCATAGGGAATTATCTACTTAAAAATTGAGGTTCTGGTCCTCAGATCATTGGTAATAGGCTAAGTAATCCTGGCCAAGTCACTTCATTTTCTTGGGCCCTCAATTCCCCAACTTAAACCATTTAGAAGCTGAATAATATTATCTACATATGATATTTTACAGATGATTTTAATATACCCAATGTTTATAAATATTCATGCTGGAAATGTAACGTGTAATTTTGAAAATTATTTGAAAGTAGTTTATTATAGTCTCGTGCTTTGCCAAAACCTATAAATATACCAGGTAACCAGCACCATATATAAGTTCTTTGATTAACATCTGCACTGAAGACTTCATTTTTAGAAAAAGGCTATCCCTCTGCTCTTAAGTATTATCAAACATCTTTCCATGCTTGTAAGCTATATAATGCAGCACTGCTCAGTGAACATTTAAAGAGTTGTAAATACCTGTTGGAATCATATTTTCTGAAGCCCAAATCTAGACGTTTGGTCCCCAAATAACAAATGTTCCGTGCAGCATCAAAAATACTTGAAATTTCAATTCTAGAAAATCCAGGATGTAATTTGCCAGATGTATGTTTCCTTTTGATTAACTTCCACATGCTTCCAGCCCGTACTATGTAAATCCATGCGGCCGAGGGGTGGGGCTTGGAGAGGGGGGAAGGGATCAAAACATAACCTTGGCTGTTTCAACACTGCAATGAACTTCTTCGTAGAAGGTTCACAGACTAAGTACATTGACCTCCATGAAGCTGAGGAATCAACTTTAACCCAAATAAAAGTCTTAGTTTTACTTATTCCTTTTTGGCAACTTAAAAAGAGCAAATGGTTCTAATAAAAAATGCAACTCTTTTGAAAACCTCTGTTGGTTTTGGAGAGGGGGGAAACAGAGAATTTAGACTAAATCACCAGATCCAAACCTGGGTCTGAAGGGGGCTGTACACTGCTTCTGGCAAGGAGGAAAGAGCCTTTTACTATTGCACGTGGCAATATTTAGTATAATATTTCACTATTCTCTTAGATGGCTGCCAAGAGTAACAATTAAAGTTCGCTTTTTCATAGATGAATTACCCTGAACGGTCTGGACTCCCAGTGGAATTGTTTTGTAATTTTGTTGATGGCAAGACCCATATTTCATCTAAACATGATCATAATATGAAGAATTTTTTTTAAAAAGTTATTTTCTTCCCTACTCTAAGCATTACCATCCCCTCCCTAGTGTCCCACAAATAAAAGTGATTAAGGCAGAGGCTAGCAGGAGAAGTGATATGCTTTGGGGAAGGAGAGAATGCAGGTCACTGGGACTGGAGAAAGATGGGCTGACTTTTTATGGACTAAGAACTGAACGAACAAAAAATAGCGAAGGCTTGGAAGAGGTTCACGCAGTGAGAGCTCATATTTTAAATTAGGTCAGCCGGCTTTTGCAAGCCTTGCTTAGCAGAAACACAGGGCCAAATGCTTCTCCTTAGACAGGAGAAAACGGAAGTCGCCTGCAGACAGAAGCCTGCAGCCATTGGTGCCTTCCCTCTTGCCACTCAGCTTGGTCCTAACGCTGAGTGAGAGGTAGGCATAAAACGAAGCTGAAAACACCTGTGCTTCCCTGGGCTTGCATCTGTGCTCTCATGTTGAGCAATTTAACTTGTGTAAGAGTGAGTTTTTTTGTTTTTTTTTTAATGAAACCATGAGGATTTCACAAATTTCTTGGCAGGTCCTCTTCTGCAATGAGGACTTCTGTATCCACAGCAGAATTTCCTTCTCAGCAGGTGAAGCAGAAGCAGCTTAGAGTAGTAGCCAGTTCGGTTCCGGGGTCTTGCCATCAATAGGCTTGATAATCTTAGTCCTCACTGATAACTTCAGAGATGCCAACACCCTACAGAACGGTCTTCCCCAAACCCTGCCAAGCACATGTCGCACAGCGTCCGTACCTTTCTTCAGATCTGCCTGTGTGTGATATATCCTAGGCAGAGAACAGAGCAGATGTTGTAGGAACTAGATTGGTGTGGGTCTCCCCTTAAGGCAGACTATCCACTCTTACCCACGTGTGTTAGGGGCCTGGATTCCTGGCCCCTGGAAGGGGATTCCTTCCAGAAGCAGCTGCTGGCTTCCTGTTGACTGGCAGGGAGAGATTGCATTCAGGCAAGGAATGTGCCCTGGAAGAACTGAAGAATGTGGCTCTTGACTGACTCCTCTCTGTGTTTCTCTGAGGGTAGGGTTGCATCCTGATGAGTTGGGTGCAGAGAACTTTCTCCCCCTTCTCTGTGCTCTCACTGCAGTCGCACTTTATAAACGAGCCTATAGTGAGATCGGTTCACAAGGAAGGGAGCCACTCATCGACATTTTTATGCTAATGGTACCTTAACTTTTAATAACCTTAATTGAACTAAGATGATTCTGTCTTGCTGCTTCTTTAATAATAATAACAACAACAACAATAATCTTTATAATATAGTTAAAATATCTTTTGTAGAAGGTTTGTTTTTTTAAATAAACACAGCCCAATGAATGTGTACCTATGAAAACTAACTAAATGTTATTTTGACTTGTTCATCTTGTGAATAATCCTAGCTAAATTTCAGGCAACACCTTTTGACTTTAAACTCCCTCCAGAGATAGCTTCTTTAAAAATAAATGGAATAAATATCACGCACCTATCGTGGAACCTACCTGAGATTATGCATGAGTATAGGAAAGTATTTGTATGAGGCCAGATGAACAGATGTGGTATTTGCCACTAGAGAACTAAAAACCAAATTCCAGTATTTTGCTGCTGACCAACATTTGCAATATGCCAGAAGATGACTTTGGCATTAAATTGTTTGTTGGGTTTTTTTTTTCCAGTATTATTTCTTTCCCTCTTGATCCCTTCCCTTTCCTCTTATGACAAGTCTTTTCTATTTTTTTTCTTTTCTACTCTTTTTAAAACCTCCTCATGCTCCTTCATATACAAATCAGCTGTAGGAGTGAGGGCTTTTGCCATCAGGGTGGTTTTCTTCAGGGAATTTAATTGATACTAATTGATTCTTCATGTATTTATTCAAAAATATTCCCTGTGCACCTTCACAAATGGAAGTGGCCCCAAAGAGGAGAAGGGGGAGGAAATGCCAGGGACCCCAGGCCATTGCCACCTGCGCTGGCTGTGCTGTAACTGATGCAGAGAAACAGCAGTTTACACTGCGCTCTTCTCTCCATTCAGTCCAGACAGTCTGCCAGGTCATGATGACAGAAGCGTCGATGCTGCTTCACTCACCATCTTAAAATATAGCTCAACCTGAGCAGTGGAAGGCACCTCATGAGAGACGGTCTCTTGGGGGGTGCCGTGGACATTTTGACCAGCTCTGTCTGTGCACGTGGAATCTGTGGGTCACAGAGCCATGCTGAGGGCTTTAATTCTGCCTTCTTCTAGTATCTATGGCTTGTATCTTTTCAAGAAGAACTTAGCTCTTTGTTACGATCCCCTCCCCTCTCCTGCTTTAATCTGACGAACCTGCAGATTTACCACCCCTCCCTCCCCCAGTCTCCTGGGCTGCGCTGGTTGAGTCTTTCCTCACGTCCTTCTCTCTGGTTTGCAAATGCAGGTATAAAAAGTATCATTGAATGCATGCAACGTCGGTGTGGTAGCTTTTGTCTAAGTGTGTGTATTTGGGTATTGTGACTTGCTATTATGTAGTTAAACTCTCTTAAATCTAGGAACAGGAATAGACGTCAGATAATAAATTAGGAACTTCTGTCATCTTTACTAGGCGAAAGAATGAAAAAATGTCATTGAAAGTCAAAAATGACAACTAAGTGAGCGAGGTTACCACGCCTTCCATTTCACTGCCCTCCCAGACTATGTAAGTCTCTTTGTTTCTACCAGCATGTTGCTGACCCTCCCCGTCCCCACTGACTCTTTCTCTGACCACAACTAAACTACTAGACTTTTTTTTTTTATTTCTAACTGATTTCCCACCATGGGGAAAACAATTGACAGTCTAACATGACTTCTTAGCCTCGAAGGCCCCTAACTTTTAACAACCTTTATTTCAATTACCATCATTTTATTTCCATTGGTAGGGCTGGTAATTTTAAGATGTTCCAGTATATTTTTAATACCTACCTGTCTTGCTTTCAGTTTGTAATACTTATTAAAAAGAA